GCGAGACAATGACAAAAAAAAATCGGGGGGGGGGGGGTTCTTTCCGTCTCATACCTTGCTGCATATGTACAAGCCCCTTGGACACCAAATGGCATCGGATACAGTATGACACCCATCCATAGCATTCATTTGGTCTCCACTTTTGGCGAAAAATCACATTTCTGTAGAGTTATATTGAGACGATGATCGTCGCGCAAGTAAAAAAAGATATTAAATATGGCATACGATACCGGTTATTTGTTGAATTAAGATATAATTTGGACAATTTAAAAACAATTTTGAACATGTAACCATGGCTATATAGTTGCATGCCGGTACTAAGCGCATGTTTTATATGTGCACTTGATTTATTGGCGCAGAGTACAATACAGACTGATTATGAATATTCATAAGCCACTGACTATCAGGGGTTACATGCAGGTCGAGCAGCAGCAATCACAAGGCAGCACTGTCGTCACTTCATTGACCGTAGACAAGCACGACGTCAATATTACGAGCAAATTGCGTCTTAAAATGAAGCTGCGGCACAGGCATGGCGTTGCGTTTGACGTAATGACACGACAGCAACCCCCCCCATAACTGCCACATCGCTGCTCAGGGCTCATCGCCGCGGCGTACAGTACCAAGTTTTTCCTCCCTCTTTATATCATCAATTACGATCAACTATGCGCGAGTACTTGGATTCAGCCAGCATTATTTTCACGGACTAGGGGATTGACTAGTCAATGGCAAGCATATGCTCCAGCCGACTTACTTCTCCGCGTATCTCTAGAGTGTCAAGTACATCTCTGTATCTCTCCGTAAGCCCCCTCGGGCCACGCACATTGGGGACGAGGAACACGATTCACGTATTTTATCACACTGATGACTTCAATTGCGCAAATACCGGGTTGGGATTTCGTAATTGGCCATTGCTTCAGGTTTCCTTCTCCGGCTAATTTGCAGATTTTTATGATGGCTTGTTAATTTCTTTTTTTTTCAATTTGCACAAAAAGCAGAGGATATAATTATCGTGTGCGTCCGAGAGATTCCAGCAAGGCTAAGACGTGTTTATCGCCTCCGTAACCATGGTTACCCGATGACAACTAATGGAACCGCTGCAACCTTGGGGAGCAGCTGGTTTACGGGAACTCGTGTATATCAAAATATGGTTTTGACGTCATCAGTGACGAAGTACCCTATTTGACAAACTTCGTTTCTTCAGCCCCAAAACAGGAAACGACTGGACAATACAAAATAGAGACGGCCTGAAAGGCGTCGAAAACAAGAAAAACGGGATATTTTGTTGTATTTTAGCCCTCCGGACTTGAGATTTTCGTCACTGCTTTTTTTTGTCCAAATAGCTTGATATGTTTGTCTGACGTTGTATGCATTTCAGAGCGGAACAGGACACGAGGAATCACTGGCTGTGAGGGTTGTGGCACGTGCGCTCGGGTGAGTTTGGGGAGCATAAGGGGAATACAGCGTACAGATATCGTTTACATACCTCAAGCAAACCATGATCAAACACAAGTGGGGCAACCAGATTCACGTCAAGACAATCTCCCAGTGGACAAAAGATGCAGTGAATGAAGACGGATATGAACCTGAGACAGGTGGAACGCTGATGTTCTTTGTTCTGAGTAATAACTGCGTACCATACAGTTGCGAGCCGGACCTGCTCGATAGAAATACACGTAATTAGTTATGGATATCGTCAAGAGATGACTATCACTACACCAGATCACAGCAATGTTTACGGTTATTATTTGCTCTTTGTATGACCCATGCGGCGACCGACTTACGGGGCTGAGAAGAGTCACGACGAGGCAATTTGGATTTTCATTAGTTCACAACGGTCATTCACATGACAACTGGTTACCGGGTATGCAATGTTTCTATGAAAAAATAAATAAATAAATAGGGAAAACATGCTGGTATATCCTAACTCCAGGATTTCTTTCATCAGAATCCATCTGGATCGACCTCTGATATGACGAGGGGAATGTCTGACTGCGTGTCGCAAACAGCTCGCGTCTGCCTTAATAATATAACTTGATGTCTCCTCCAGGAGATCATTATTGCGAATGTTCACGAATCGACGACGTCATCCTATGCCACGGCGAGGCATGTTTCGAGCGTTTAAGGAGACGACGACGTAATCATAGCGTCATTTGGACACGCCCTTCCACACATCCACAGCCACCTCCGCCTGTACTGTAAGCATAAAAGGCCGTGTTCCTTCGCGAAAACGGCACAGGGGTAAAAACAAAACCATCTGCGGGATGTAGGGGCAGTCTATGGGTACTGTCAAGACAGAGTACTCTGGTGAGGAAAAAAAGAGGGAAACAAGGCATGTTGCTGTTTGTGTCTGTTTACTTTGCTTTAACATTATTCAGAAGTTCCAAAATCCCCAAGTTTTTAAAAAAGTGCATCTACAACATTCCAGCGGTGCGAGTTCTCTTAGCATGTCAGGCAAGCGCGGCCCATTTTACTAATCTGCAATATCCCCCAAACTAACTGACATTTGTGAAAATTGCAGCCCGGATGAATTTTTTTAATCCGGAGGATCACCACTGCGACGGAATGCCCTTTTCAATGCAGTATATAACCATCTCCTTCGCGTTAAAGCCTGACCCCAAACCCTTTTGAAACAATTCTCAGGGGCACTACTTACTAAGGAAATGAAAGACGCTGAAAAAAAATCTGCGTTTTGCTGGATTTACTTAGTTTGGTCGCCTCCACTACACTGTCGGGCCTATCGAGGAAAAGGTAAGAAGTGACAACCCCTTTGTTTGCGCAGACCAGCCAAAAAAAATCAGATTTTCAACACTCGCATCCTTGCTCTGAGATGCCAAGATAAAGGATGCAAGAGAAAAAGACGATTTCTCCCGCATCCCACGCCCTGTCCACAAAGGCAGTGTTTTCATAAACTCCATCTGCACGGCCGGGCTGGCCCCGTTCACAAAGAGCGACTCGGTGTGACTCTACGCAAGCTGGCAAAACACCTGTCGACCTGAATAATTATTTTCGTTCGAATATCTCTGTGTTCTGAATGTGTTTTGTCCTCTTTACAGTCTCCTTCTGATTTCTGCCATCGCTCACAGTTTCAAGTGAATCCCCCCCCCATTTCGTTTGCACGCGCGTTTGTTTCTCAAGGATGGGATGAGGGAAACACAATGGACCAGAAACAACGCCTTCACACCTCAGTATT